CTTGCACTTGCGTCACGAAGTTGATGCTTCGTGGTAGATGTGGGGTGACGCAAAACGCGTCGATCAATATGTCCGCAGTTTTCAGTTTCGGTGGAACAACCGAGGAAATTTGCTTGAGGCGTTGGCCCGGACGTGGCCGCAAGTCTAAAGAAAATACACCTGCAAAACGCGTGTGCGCCAAAAAAGAGTGCACTTTCTGCTCTTCCCCAATCTAAATTCCACCTTACAAGTGCTGACCCTTGTGAAAAATGGGATGAAAGCACATATGATCCAAACTCTCCCAAATGAAAAAATGAAAAAATGGGAGGTTTTGAGCACTGTCCACTTTGGCACTGTGCGAATCGCACAGGGTCACTATTAGCGGCGGTGCCAAGGACCAGCTAGCTGCCCCTGTCACAAGTGCTGGAAGCACCCAGAATCACCATGTAACAGTATATTTGTGTTGCCCTTTTTATTCGCACCCACTCAACATTTTCTACATGTTAAAGTGCATCTATCATTTTCGCACTTTCGCTGGATTGGCATTGGTCAATAGTCCATCAACACAATAACTTGTCAAAGGGTTCTGAGTCTATCCGAATTGCCTACTCCCAGGAACTATAAGTTAACGCTGAAACATTCTCCAAGATATGCCCGACTTGACCGGACTTGCGATGTAGATGGCTTTGACTGCAGTGACTACGCACTGACCACCTGAATGTTTTTCTTGACAATGCATTTAATCAAATAGAATCCTGTTAGCTCGACCCTTCTGGTCCATTCTTTCTTCAAAATTGATCCAATTTCAGTCCAGGGCCCCTCCATCTTGCACGGCGACTTGTCGCCGAAGAACATCCTATTGAGAACTGCCAGGTGCACTGGGTGTCCCGGGGGCGCGCGAAATGCATGTGAAACGCATTCTTGAGTCTCGCAAGATTGATTAGCATTTGGCCAGGTTCGCTGAAAGAATAGCGAGACCTTTTGGATATGTTTCGCACTTTCAGGCGTTTTGAATCGTTTTGAAATATTTGCAATGTTGCGTTTGCATTGTTCACACCTTTTCCGGGAGCCTCCAGTTCTCCAGAACTTGATGCAATGTTTGGCGGACAGCAGCGGTCTATTTCTGTCAGCCAATTTCTGTTGCACCACTCTGCTGGCCGAAGCTTTTGGTTCTTGGGATCACCTGGTTTTGGAAATGCAAAGCTTCCTCTAGTGACTGTAGTGATTGTGGGGGGTTCGCGTTCATATTATTCGCCTCTAGCGACATCGAATCGGTGGTTCTTGATTTACATAATGCTTTTTAGCATCCGCTGCAAGAGGAAAATGCAAGCGTCTGCCGTGCCAGTTTGGATCCTGTGCTGGTGGACTTTGGCATGAGTGTCTTACGGAGATCCAAGCAGAGGATGCTAGGAGGCTTCTTGCTGCACATGGCTGTGCCATTTGGGGGACCCGCGGGGGACTTCTTAGGAAGGCCATTTGCTATGCATCCCTTTGATTTGATCGTTCTGCTAAGAGTTAATCAGTGAACGTCTTTTTGGGGCCTGGCGGGCCTGGCGACGGCCAATGATCGAATTTGGGAGAAGACCTGACATGTCCCTTCATCGGTTTGAAAGCGATTTCATCATATTTTATTGATCCTTATATATCCTATTTTACCCCTTAGCTCCCGCTCACAAAGCGGAGGAACCTGGACAACTGCCAGTGCTCACAGGCTCTCCACATTGGATGGCTCCAGAGATCCTCCGATCGGTGGAATCGGGCGGGCTGAAGCCAGGCCAGATCACTTGTCGAGCGCTAAAACGCTAGTCACATTGCAGCCCTCAGACTAGATGGACATTCGATGGTCAAAGTTTTTGAAGCTGTCATTGTTGCGCAGACTGCAGCGTCGACGTCTTCTCCCTTGGCCGCATTGCCTTTTTCATCTCGACCGGTGTGGCGCCCTTCCAATCTTTCGTGGTTGAGCAGCTGACCCTTGATGCAAATAGTTTGCACGCACACTCGAGATAGTGCGTACGGTCTGAGGCCGCCAGAGCTGAGAAGAAACCTCGGTTAAAAACACAGAAAACAAAGTTATACGGGTGTGGTTTTGATGCGTTTTTGTGGTTTGTGGTTATTCTACGTTTTTTTTTAAACATGTTGGTTGTTTTGCAGAATGTGTCTAGCAAAAATGTCGACGTGTAATCTGTCAGATCTCTCATCAAGCTTTTGCAAAAGTACTAGCTCTCATGATTCCCACACAGAAGTCCATCAACCATCATCTATCAGAAAGTCCATGACATCACATCATACATCATCAGGTCATCACCTCTATGAGGGGGATCTGGTCTCCAAGAGTTCTCAATCTCCAGCAACTGGGGCCTGGGCCTGGGCTTCTCTGGGGGGCGGGGCGCCAAAAAAAAGGAATTGGTTGTCCAAATCCACGAGCTTTTATTTTTTTCGCGCCCCCCCCAGAGAAGCCCAGGCCCAGGCCCCAGTTGCTGGAGGGGGGCGCCAAAAAAACACGTTTTTTTCGCGCGCCCCCCAGTCGAGAAGGTTCTTCATGAGCTTGGGAATGAGTAGTGGCCACACAGCCAAGTCAGACCCTCAGTGTATCTATGGCTGGATCGTTCCATGGGCTTCGATTCTTTGGAAGATTTCGTCGCAGATGGGAGGACATGGAGCATAGACCTGAAGAGCCATTGGGTGAGAGCAGTGGAGATGAGCAGGATTAACTTGTGGGATAGGATGTGAACTCCCAATGCTCGCAGAAAGGTTCGCTATGACCCTGAGAATGGGGATGAGGCTTATTATGGGTATGGGCGTCATTGGGCGTCAAGAAGGCCATGCAAAAACAAATTCCAATCAGTCACGCAGTACTACTAAGCAAGTTTCTTAACTTTTGTTGGGCCTGGTGGGCGCATGGTGTTTCAAGATAATGATCTTCCCTCCATTTTATAAAGAATGCGGGGGGAGAAGCCCAAAAAGTGTTACCTTTGAAACAATGAGAATGCTTATGGGCAAGGGAGGGTAGAGTGGGATCCAGAGGTTGTTTGAAAAAAAGAAAAGATGGTTTGTTTGGGAAACAGGAGCACAACAACATATCTAGACCCCAACCGTGGAAACTCTTTCAAAAAATTACAAAATCTAAGAAAAACAACAAAAAACACATAAAAGCCACGCCCGCATAACTTCGAGCTCTCTAAAAAAACGGGGCCTGCGTAAGCCAGGTTTCGGCAAATCAGCCATGGTAAGAGTCTCCCTGTTTGACGCTCAACTGTTAGTTCAATCCGCACGCGTACTGTTCACAAAGCAAGACAGGCTGCAAGAGCTTGAAAGTCGGCAGGTCAAAGCCAAAAAGGAATTCTTTTAGAAAGGAATTGCGCATATGCATTGGGACATGTAAAATGTACAAGGGCGAAGCTTCACAAGAGAATCGCCGTTACATTAGATTACAAAGAAACTCAGACAAGACAGTTAAAGTAGCAGGTACGTTTACAGCTCTCAAGATTGGCCTCTTCATTGGCCATCCACCAATGGTGAGAGGGATGGCCCCCTGCTCAAAGACTAAAAACCAGAAGGTTCCCTGAGTTCCCTGTGACTCTAAGGGTTTCACACACTTAGATTGATGCTCGCAAGAGCTAAATCAGTTGTTGGAGCACGGATGCACTAGCACTTTACTGCAGAAACGACCTGGACCTGGAAAACAGACCTTATAAAGGGCCGAGAACAACAGGTGTACACTGTTTTGCATCACCGATTCATTGGCCCTGTGCAGGTACGTTCAGAGAGCGTCCTCTCCGAATATCACGTCCGATCAGCAGTGTCTTTGTTAGGCAGTGACTGCTGAAGGGATCACTGCCCCCCTGCATCATCTCTGCACCCCTGCCTCGATTTAACCTTTAAACATTTTGAACCCTTTGGGTTGTTGAAATAATTTACACTGTGTGTAGCCTTTGAAGCAGGCTTTGACACACACACACACTCTGCATCTCTCTATCTCTCTCTCTATCTCTCTCCCTTTTTCTCTCTCTCTCTACGGAAGCACATGGCATCTGTATCATACTGTATGGCAGAGTAGCGCACATCAATTGCATTTGCAAGACTGCAGCTCGTTCAATGAAGCAAACCATGGGGTTTGTGACATTAATAAATACTTGCATGATTCAGATTTGAAGACCTGGCAGGCGTTTTCCATGAAATCTGGAGCTCTTCCAACGTGAACGAAACATAAAGAAACTTCGCATCCGAAAGTCGGACGCGCTATGAACATTCACAGCCCACAGAGTCCACATCATGCACACCAGACTGGGACACGTCTCAGTTTCACTGGCTCTATCGAGGATTGAAGCGGCATCCAAAGCAAACTTTTCAGAGATGCCATGGCCAATTGAGACCGTGCCTCGCAGATGGAGATGTAGGCAGTAATGAAAGAAAACCAGATGGATTGGAAGATTCTATTCCTGCCAATGATATGGTACTTCAGTGGTGTTTGGCTTTGAAATGTCATAAGTTTCGCATTTTGAAATGTTTGTCTCACTTACACAGTAAGGTCAAAATAGCCAACGAGTTTGGATATACCATCTACTCTAACATGCAGATGGCATTCGGCATAAGTGACTCCAGTTTGGCCATAGATAGCGCTTGTGCCGTACAAACATGAAATCAGGAGCAAGGGCCTGTAAGCTGTTAGCTGTGTACCGGGTTCCCATTAATTGCACACAAGTGCAAACCAAGGAGACTCCTTTTCAGAAGCTGTGCAAGGCCCCGGTCCAAATCCTTGCGTGTCGCTACACATACTTTGTTTGCTTTGCCTTGATACCATTGCTCGTTTGCAGGAGTGATATATTTGATGACATACTTTCAGAGCTGCGTCTCATGGTTTTGTATCTGACATTCCTTGCAGTGTTTTCTTTTCGCTTCGTGCAGGAAGAGTTTTGCCAGGGGCTCGGTCGGTTTGCGCGGTGGTTGGAGGCAAGTCCCAAGGCATCGCTTACAATCGACAAATGACGACAAATGTCATTGGTTAAATGCAACCTGAACCTGAACCTATTTTGTGGTATTTGTTGTTTGCTACTGGGGCAGGCTACTCTTTCTGTGCTGGGACGAAAACAGCCGGTTTGCATGTAGTGTAGCTGCTCTAATTGTTGAGATATAGTTCTTGTGAGAGATCGGTGTTTTGTCATGGCACGTTTGGGACGCGAAACGATGTGAAGGTATACAGGGGATAGATGGGGAAAGAGGGAAAAGATGGTATACAGGGGAAAAGATGGGGGTGGATGTAGATGAGTTTTCAGAAATGAGTCACACTGACACTGACTGCACGATTTTCGGGCTCTCCTTGTGGATGCGAACGGACATTCTTGGCGCGACAGGGCTGTAGGTTCAGAACTCACCACATATCATCAAAAGTCAGAGTAGTCGCTGCCAAACAGCACAGGCGTCAACTGAGTTCACTGGAATCTGAAAACATATAGATGTTTGAGTTTGCCAGTCACGGTGAAATCATCGCCGCCAACAACAACACTTTGCTATGCCAAGCTGCTAGAAAAAACAACTCGTTTGACTTTTCTCAACCCTCCAACAGCTACAGTTGAATTTGACCGGATTTTCGAAGGACTTCACACCGCGAAGGATTCGACGTCACTCCTTTCTCGTTTTCGTATGTTTCCGTTGCTTTTTTCTGGCGTCACATTCTGAGGCCCACCCTGCCTGGAAATGAATCCGAATCAGCGTTGCACCAGTGGAGAGGCGTTGCAGACCTTGCAACAGGTACCTTCACCCCAAAAAGAGCCCTGTGGCTGCAAACTGAGGCGGAAAAAAAGCGTGGAAGCACTACCGTTCACCCACGTTCACCCTTACGTTTGACCAACAGTTTCACGATTTCACAGTCTATATATTTCTTGGGATTGACCGCCAAACTGTGGTTGCTGATTTGCTGAGACCTTGCTGGCAAGAAACTTCTTCGGGGCATTGGACATGCAGCCAGGCCCTATATAGGGTTTGGCTGGTTTACGAGCCCATTTTTGGCTGGGAGGACACCCCCCCCACAATGGTTTTGGTGCAGAACCAGTGTCTTCCTGTAGGGAAGGCTGCCAAACATGTGGGTTCTTCCGATTTGGTAGGACAAGTTTCGACCGACCGCCCAGGTTGAAATCCTTGAAGGCAGCCATGCATGTGGCGGAGAACGAAGTCACTCTCAAGTCCTCCTTTATGGCTTCCCGAAACCTGGCCGGAAGTCAGGATCATCACAATGTTCATGCCGAGCTGAAGGAAAAAGCGGTATGCCTGGAGGAAGCACCAGCAAACTTTGGAAGCGGCATAGAACACGCGCCCCATCAGTTTCATTGCTTGGTCATAAATATGAGTGTACCAGAATCAGGTCATGTCTTGTCTAAAAGTTTCATGCTCATCATGATGCCACACTCTGAAATGCACTGGTTTTCAATATTCAAGACATCTAACACCTGGTTTATACGCCGTCTCCAGCAATGGGGCCCCTGGCAGCATGTGATGCTGTGGCTGAGGTATGGCCGCCATCCCCGCGCATACATTCGGAGTGCCAAAGCCGAAGATTGCCCTTTAGGGGCACATGTTTCTCGTATTGTGCGTTACGGAGAGGTCGATTGGTTCACCGATATGATAAGAGGGTTAGCCATGTTCACCGTGTTGTTGCAAAAAAGCATTGGCAGGCTGAAGTCACTTGAGACATGTATATACAGTAATGTTACTTCTTTGAGCCTATTTATCCTATTTAGTCCATGACCAAGCCACTTCTTGCTATTTGCATGCAAGTCCACCCCCCAGCCACAAGGCTTCCCATGCACAGATATAATCCACACCAGAAACACCCCATAATAATGGAAACCAACGACCTCTCTGATAGGTTGATGACTCCTTTGTGGATGCTCTTACCGCTGCCAAAGGCACTGATAGTACAGAGCACATATATAGAACTAAACTCCTGAGATGCCGCCGCCAAAGCTGTTACTTTAGGGAGCTGCCGGGTATCTACGCTGATACAAGTAAGAGCTCAAGCATGCCTTTTGGATCTCTAGCAATCCTATTGAGCATTGAGAGGCTAGGCTAATGGTGTTTACCCCTTTCTGTCCACGAACTTATGATGTTTCGCAAACTTAACCGAACTCAGTGGCGAGACATGCTCTTGCGAGTCCTCGGGTCGGAAACGGCGAACCTTGAGTCACGATTAGTCATGCGTCACAAGCGCGGGCCGTCACCAACGTCTTTAAGAGCTGGTGGCTTCCACGATCCCGAGCTTCGTTGCTTTTTTTTGAAGCCCAAAGGACCAGGAATGGAGGTGATGGTGTTCTCCGGCTTGATTCCTGCATTCCCCAGGACCTACGTCGTTGAGATTGAGGAGGAAGCCTTTTCAGATGCCACAGCTCCTGGTGGTTTGAGCAAGAAGCCTGTTCCTGCATCCTTGAATCAAACAAACACTTGAGATGCGTGCATCTACGGTGCAAATCCTGGGTTATCTTGTGATGCATCAACTCTTTAGGAGTATATAGTTACTGTGGGAAGTTGAAGTCGACCCTGAATACCTGCCAACGGCCTTGAGGAACAGTGTTTTTTTTAATTAAAGGTGATTAGAACCCAGAAGCTGAATGCAGGCATGTGTAGAACCTTAGAAAGTGTCCTTCCAGATATCACAACCTTCCATCAGTGTCTTCCTTGGGCAGTGAGTGATGGAAGTCCGCTGCCCCTCCAACGACGCCCTGAAAAAAGTGTCGGGTGGCAAAATGTCAGGAAAGAACATGTCACGTAGGTAGAAGCAAAGCCTGTAGCTGTGCGAGCAAAGTACTGAATTGAGTCTGAACAACGCGTGCAAGAGTAGGCAAGATCAGAAGTTCAGCTAAACGATAGCCATCAAGTCTTCGAGAAACAACTCGTCGATCACATCAGCCATTTGGCAAGTATGCATCTCAGCATCCCGGGATGCATCACACTCACTATCTTTGTTGGACACTGGATGTAAATGAAACTCACTGCTCCCCTGCATGATGCTCTTTGTGATTTTTGCAGGACAAACAAGGCGTAAGTCAGGGTGATATCTATCTGCGGTTGAACAGACCGCCGATTCAAGAGAGTGACCGGCATATAACAGGTGTTACTGGGCTTGTTGAGAAGTCTCGGGTAATCCCGGTCGGTAATCTCGGGTAGGTAGTGTGAAGGAACTTATAGAAGCACGACCACAAGCAATCAGGCTGGAAACCACCGACGCACAAACATGTTTCCTCTTAAGGGATTGGGCTTTGCCTAGAAGTGAAGTTTGTTATTGTATTTATTTTCATGCAACCGTTATAGATTTGATTTCGAATCACTCCCTAGGCGGTGACAGTTGGAGAGCTGCGAAAGAACTTCCTGGCAGCGTGGGGAGCCTGAGAATTCCTGACTGAGGGTGCAGGAGAAATGTTTGTGCGGCTCTGGCTCATTAATGCATGGCAAGTACCGGCTGACTGAGGATGATGCAGGTGCTGGGCCAATGTTTGAATTGACTCGTGTCAATGGAGACAAACACCTCACACTACCGATATATACGATCATAGACGGACACAGGCCATCATTGGATCATTGAGATTTGGAGATGCTTGTCAATTTGCGACTTCCTCTTAGGTCCAGCTTCAGCTTTTCAATCCATCCTGATACCGAAGGTCCTGTCAGGAGCTCAAGAGTTTGCAGTTTGGGACCATGTCAGGTTGTGAACCAGCTGTGTTGTTGGCAGGTCACTTGACCATAGGCACCAGTGGAAGTGTTTGTTCGTCCCCCGGGACAATCAAAGGCAACATTTCTTGTGGAGTTGATGCCACTTGGTTCAATTGTCGGTGCCAACGTAGCCAACCTTACTTGTAAGTGGTTGTTTTCTCTTATGTGACTGTGACCGTGAGTTGGCAGTTCAGACTTTGGATATTGGGAGGGGAAGAGAACTCCCATGGATTCGATGTGAGAATGTGAGGCGGGCGAGGCTAGTGGGAAACTCTGTGTTTCACCAATCAAGGTGAACATTTTGGATTGAAGTTGATCACTTCAAAAGATCTGCCATCTCCCAGTTCATTGATACGGCTCTGACAGCTATGGCGCATGGGCGATGCATTTTGTCTCGGAATCCTCCGCGAGATGACGCAAGACCACTTGTCACAGGCTGAAAGTGGTTGTCACCCAACTCCCAAAGGCCACTCCAGTGCCACAAAGTGATCGATGGCACCATGCAAGGTCCTGTCCACCTCGGAGCCTCAGAACCATTCCGGAGATGTGGACCGACTGGCGTGTGAGACGTGCGAGACCAACCGGGGGCGGCGATGCTTTTCATATCTTTTCATCGAGTGACACCGACAAGGGCTGAGGTAGCATTTTCAGGATCAATTCCATTGCGTGTCCTTCGAGTAAGCATTTATTATTGACAAATGAGC